AAAGGAGGTGTTGAGCAGCACTTTCCCGCTGAGCGGGCTCTCACTGTGGCAGGGGCAGCTCGAAGCTGCACACTCACGGTGACGACTGCTGCCCCAGAGGCCTGCGTGGCACAATGCACCAGTGGAAGGGAGCAGCGGATGCAGCAGACCGCAGGGGCTGGTGAGTTATTTGGGTTCAGACGTCCCCCAGGAGAGGCGACTGGCCAAGGGCTAGTGCCCTTCAGCCCGTGAAGGAGCGCCAAGTGATCATGCCTGTCAGCATGTTCTATGCCATCTCGGGGCAGCCAGGGGGCTCCGTGTCGCAGGGCCGGCACAGAGCTGAGCCTGAGGCGAGACTTACCACCGTAGACAGTGTCCGTCTGCACGGTGCCCCAGAGGAGAAACGGTCCATCTTGTGTACTCTGCCCAGCCCCGCGGACGCGCAGCAGCCGAGCGTTACCTGCATTGGCGTCCCCCAGGAGGGCCACAGCAAGGCTGACGTCAGCTTCTCGCCCACAGCCCTGGCGGCTGTAAAGGTGGAGACCACAGGAAGACGGTGGTGCCTTATCTGTAGCGGAAAACTCCCGGAAAGAGGGAGTGCACAGCCTCGCAAATCCTTCCAGCACACCCCAGTGGCTGCGCAGGCTGTGGCGGGCACGTCCCACAAGACACTCTCACTGTCCGCACAGGGGATCCGGCCACGGCGGCGGTCGCAGCTCAGCGGCAAACCTCGTGAGAACAGACGCCGGCAGCACCACAACGCGGCAGCAACAGCAGCAGCTCGGGGCTGGACTCGGACAATCCGAGCTGCCGAAGTTGAGCTGCAGTCACAGCCACTTTCCCCAGAATGTCTGCTTCCAAATTCTTTGCAGCCAGAGGGCTTGAAGTAGGGAGAAATTGGGCATGGAGCAAGAATGCTGCGCCGGAGCCGGTGTTCAGAACACACTGGCACCCACCGGGGGGCACCAACTGCTGCAAGTCGAAGAGCTCCTCTGCTAGGGCAGAAGCACATCCTGTGGTGTCCCGGAACACAGGAAGCTCGAACTGGAGAAGGGGAATCTTGTAATTCGTGCTCTACTATATTTTCCTGTGTATTCAAAAGTATTCTTTTGAGCCAGGCATGGTGGCGCATGCCTGTAATCCCAGCAGGTGGGAGGCTGAGGCAGGAGGATCTTTGTGAGTTTGAGAACAGCCTGGGCTATAAAGGGAGCTCAAGGCCAGCCTGAACTGCAGAGGGAGACCCTGTCTCAAAAAGACAAAAAAAAGAAAGAAAAGAAACAAAGAAAGGACTTGCTCAGATAGGAGAAAGGTGGCCTCTTCCCTTGCTCAGGATGGAGCTAACGATGGACTGAGCTCCAGGGACCCCTGCGGCTTCCAGTCTGCACATCACTCACCACAGGGGAGCCGTGTCCTCTTCACATCCGTGTTCGGACATAAGCGTAGCATCTAATGAAAAAAAGGGAGGAAAACTCAATTATGGTTTATTAAAGACAATTTCTATTACATCCTCCTTCATGGCAAATGACATTTTAGTTGCTAAAGTAAAAACTTTGCCATACTTCTATTTTTTTCTGGCCTAACACCAAGGCCTAAAACCTGGGGCTCCTGTGCCTGATGGAATTTTTGTAACATATACTTGTGTATCATATAAAGATATCATTTGAGGCTGGGGATTTAGCTCAGCGGCACAGTGCCTGCCTGGCAAGTGCAAGGTCCTGAGTTCAATTCCTGGTACCAAAAAAAAATTTTTTTGTTTTTGTTTTTGTTTTTGTTTTTGTTTTTCTTCCGGTACCAGAAATTGAACCCACGAACTTGCGCTTGCCAGGCAGGCACTGTGCCACTAAGCTAAATCCCCAGCCCCCAATATTTTTCTTTTGTTTATTTTATTTTTGTTTGTTTGTTTTTGGTTTTGGTCTTTTTTTTGTCTTTTTGAGACAGGGTCTCACTATGCAGTTCAGGCTAACCTTGAACTTGCAATGATCCTCCTGCCTCAGCCTCCTCAACGCTGGGATTACAGGTGTACAGCACCATGCCCAGCTGTTTTATGTATTTTTACTCTAGTTGTTTAATAAGAACTGCAAACACACCAGGTACGGTGGTGCGCTTCTGTACTCCCAGCTGAGACAAGAGGATCACCATGAGTTTGAAGCTCGCCTGGGCTACATAGTGAGAACCTGCCTCAAAAAAAAAAAAAGGCAGAGGGCTGTTCAAAGATATTTTCCAAACTGGGGCACGGTGACTCATGCCTGCAATTCCAGCATTGTGAGGTGAGGCAGGGTTGCTATGAGTTCAAAACCAGCCTGGGCTACACAGTGAGC